AAAAAAAAAAAAATCAAAAAAATTTATAGCAAAATTTGGGGTTTTTAAAAGGTTTTTTAAAAACCAAAACAATTTACTTTTATTTTTAAAATCTTTTTTTTTTTTTTCTTTTTCTAACATAGCATATATGTTTTCCTTAATTTTATCAATTTATCTGTGACCAAAATCGATCTAAGTGGCGTTGCAATTTGAGAGGCCTATGTCCAGCAGTGGACTGCGATAGGCTGATGATGATGATCTGTGACTATCAAATCTTCAAATTAGTTTCTGTACAGTTTTTACATAATTAATCATAAAAATCATTACTGTATGTGTGCCATATAAATAAAATAGATGATAATAAAGCCTCATTATAAAAGGTACACTAGTTATCACACACAGAGCGCAAACGCCTGTTTAGAGTTGTCGTTGTCAAAAAACCTCTTCATTTTTTTACGAGTGCCACCTTTATTTTTTTTATTTCTTATATTCCACTCGACTCCAAGACTTTTAAATTTGTAAATAATTCATTCAAATATGTACCGCAAATTCTTTATTGATTCAGTACTTGCGATTATAAAACTATAAGAAGTGCTTTACCATATTACGACACTTTATTGCACAGTATTTCCACTACTTGAAAGAATGCTTTGTAAAATGGCAACACTAAAGTAAAGATAAAAGAAATGGAAATAACCAAATGAGCTTTTAATATTTTTCTTTCTTTTTTTTGGGTCTTACTGACTAGACGATAGTTTCAAAAAACGTACACATTTACTAGAATGAGTTTCCTATGTTTCCTATGAATTACATTTTAAGACGCTCCAATTATAGTCAAATAAGAATTCGCCATTGTCCTTTATGTTTCGACAGCAGCTAACAGCAATAGCAAAAAGAGAGCTAGCAAATGACTGAATTTGTAACCCACATCACTCTTAATATTAATAATTTTTCATATTTTCTAACAGACCGATGCTTTCGTCAAACGAGATGTCTCATCACCTTCACCAGATCCTATAGAGGCCTTCAAAAGGAACATGGATTCGTTAAAGAACTGTATTGACACAAGTTTTGCCCAAGCCCTTAGAGATGTCAACGTGGAGAAGAAATTGCAGCCTGTTTTTAATGTTTTTGGAGATCAGCTTAACAGATTGTTTTAAAGTGGTAATACTTGGTAGTTATAACTTCAACCCGCCAAAATTAATTGACGAGAAAGCAACCAGTGCCACTCTACTTCTTACTGTAGATATCAAAACTTAGATGAAAATGTGGATCTGAAAGTTTTAAAAATGATAATTTATAATTATTCTTATAACATCTTTTTTCATATCCAAAACTTTCAATCAATTTTCCTTAAAATGTATTTAACAACATTGATCGAACAGCTGAATTGATGTCTTTTTGAAATGGATAAAAAAAGTTTTTCTGATAAATGTTGTAAAACTGTATACGGTTTTAATAACCACATGATCTCACCCTTGCTTACATATTATATATAAATTTTAGATAAATATTTAAAATTTCATTACGAAAAATATGCCTTGTTTTATGTTTTGTAAAATACGAGTACAAAATTGTTTTTTTTTATTTCAATTTTTTCAGTTTGAAGATCTGACATCGCCAAGCTCCAGTCCCGCTTCATTAGTTGGCTAAATAGTAATTTATGCCAGGTATTGAATATAAAAGCGACGACAAAGAAATTCGTTGTTAAAATATCAAATAAATAATTATAGCATGACTGCATAGAGATTTTAAAAAGGTGAACATGGTTTTTATTTATAAGCACTCCATTTCTTGAATAAATTATTTTATCTATACTTTATCGAGTTTTTATTTAACAATATTTTTATCATTAATGTTTAAATGTAGATCAGTAATAAGTATGTAACCAATATAAGAAAAATCATTTATAACTTTAATAACAAGAAATAGGGGTGAATTTGATTTTGCCGTCATGTTCGTGATCTCTAGATTTTAATAGTAAATATAGAAGAAGTCTTTTGTTTCTCATAGACATCACTCCTATATTATTGATGTAACAGCGAAACGTTGTATAATCGTATTTTTTTCCGATCGTTTCTAAATATTAAATACCAAATTTAATAAAATATTTTCCTAGTTGAAAGGAATTTGTTTGTCTACAAGATAATACCGACTCAACGGTCACCCTTTAGCATGTCTTAGAATGTTTGTAAACCCTTATCAGTGTAAGGAATGAGATATTAGTTTACTTAAGAGTAGTTTGTTTATTTAAATATATGCATATGTATTCATGTAAGGAAATACCAGAACGGAGTTTTTAGGAAACAAAATACAACCTGATTAAGAGCCTTAGGTAAATGAACATGAAAATCAGAAAACATTTTACATATTTTACTTGTTTCGTTTTGAAGTTTAATTATATTTTGCGTATCAATAGGAGATAATTAAAGACCGTTGTCTTCACGATCTAGTTTACTTAAGCGTAATTTGTTTAAGAAAATATTAGGAGATACAAAATAAGTTTTTTTTTGCTTGTGTTACAAACATACATCCCTAAGTATTATTTTTAATGAGTTAGCTTAATGGTGCATTATTTTTTATCAAAGTAATTGTTTACTATTTTGAATTAAGTTTATAGTAAACGTACCTATTTATTTAAACTTGTTTGATTGATTTATTGATTGCACGGATAGTGTAGTGTTTAAGCGGTTACCTCGCCGCGTTTTAGATTAGATCCCCACAGGGGACAACGCTTTGTGTGATCCACAAATTCTGGTTCTGAGTCTGAGTGTCCTTTGTGTCCGTTTCATGAATGTTTATAAAGTTCTCTGCGACACGGTATAGGAATGTTCCCAGAGTGGGAGTTGTAAAAAAAATATTTTTTATATCTATTCCTTAAAAGTTTAAAACTTTTTTAAGACGTTTTTATTAGCTTTTTCTTGTATTTTAGTGCCTACAATCTAAACAAATCTTGGATGCAGATTTTATGCTAATTATTTTGTCATTTAACAACTTTAACAAACTTTGTATGTATATGAAGTGGGGGTGACAATAGCAGGAGGTGGAGAAACTCCTTATTGGGTGTAATGTATAAAATAAAATAAAAAAGTAGAAATAATTTTCGCCGTTAATCAATCAAATCAAATTGAAAACACCCCACGCTTTTTAGGATTGACGCCGAAATTGAACGTTTTTAGGGTTCCGTTACCTCAAAAGGTAAAAAAGGAACCCTTATAAGATCACTTTCTTGTCCGTCTGTCCGTCTGTCCGTGTGTCACCACCGATTTTCTCAGGAACGGGTAGACCTAGCAAGTTGAAGTTTATATCAGATACTGAGGTCTATGGTTCCCATTAGGTGTATACAAATCAAGGTCCTGAGTCAACACGATAAAAAGATATGGGCAAATTTCGATTTTCGCGAAAACTTGTAAGTACCAAAATTTTCCTTAATTTTCAACTTATTTTTTTTTCAGAATTTTCTCTTTACTTGCGCTATAAGACCTTGCTTTTAAGCAAAATTGACAATTCTAGGTCAACCGGAAGTACCCTATTGGTTTTGGGTCGAAAACCTAAATGGTAGTTCCCGTTGACCTACATTGAAATTTGACGAAAAGAAATGTCTTACAGCACACATAAAGGAATAATTCCAAAAAAAAAGTTTAAAATTAAGATAAATTTTGGTACTTAGTAATTTTCGCGAAAATCTACGTAAAATCTGGGTAGGTACGGTACCCTCGGCGCACGAGTTCGACTCGTACCTGACAGGTTTTTTTTTATTTGAACTATCATTCATTGTTTGATTTTTTTGTCATTAATGATGATTATTTTCTCATTAAGACCAAAAAAGTAATAAAACTTACTTATAACTTCACATATGCTTCAGCACACGCCTCTTAGTACGTTGCAAAAGACACAACCGTAGTTTTAGGTATGGAAAAAAGCCGTTAGTCCTGAAGATCCTGATCAGGATAATCGGCCAGGTTTATCAGATTATTGTATTGTCATCGGTCTTTGATATTTGTGCGAAGTTTCAAGTTAATTCAACATTTTGAAGTGGGTCAAAATCACGATCGAAGATTCTGTTACATAGATACATACTCGTGCACACCGAGCTAATAAAAGCGTGTTAATAAAGGGGCAGAGTTTGGGATCATTTTATTCAGTTTGAGATTGGTATATAGATATGATAAAAGGCAGGAGGTAGTATGAATATTTTTGCTTTTGAATCTGTTTCACTACTAAGGCGCATTTTTCGGTTTTCCTGATTTTTTTTTAAATACTTTAAATCAGTAATGTCTCGTCCTATAAGAGAAAAGCATTTTAAAATCATAGGTAACATTTGATTATAGCATGTTTTTCTTCTTTGTAGTAATAACTGCGTTTTACTAATTTGGCTTACTAGTTTTAGTTTCTTTAACCTTATATATGACAATTAGTATTTCTACGAATATGTACTTAAAAACTGTTGTCAATGTTTGGCAACAGTAGTGGCCACTAGCAGCTATGCTGTACAGTAACTGCATAATTGGACAAAAAAAGATATACATATATATAAAACAAATATTATACAATAAATAAAATTCATATACTGAGTGTAACAGGAAGGTATTCCTAAACTTCCTAATTAGATAAAGTAGATTTGTATTCAAGAATAAAATAGTTTCAAAAATAAACTGACGTGACGTTACTGGTAACTGAAGCATACACTTTTAAAATAAAAGTAAAAAAAGAATATTAAACAGTTGTTTTTATGTATTAAACGATGTTTATCAGCAGTTACGCAAACCAAGACTTTATGAACATGAAAGATAATATTACAAAAAAGATTTCTTTTATCCCCACTCACAAATATCCTTGAATGAGCGTCCAAGTAAACATGAAAACCCCGGCAAGAACAATTTCGTACCCAATCTATATAGAAGTATGTATTAAAATGTTTTGTCCTAAGTAAATAATGGGCTTTGTTTTATTAAAGGGTAATGCAGAGTAAATGACTAACCCGAACAGGTTTGTGGTTAAAGCTGTTAATACTATATAAAAAAAGGAAAAAATATTTAGAACTGATGACCACGACTTTGTTTTCGCTGTACCGGAATAAATTACAATGTGCTTTGTTTTACGGGTTCCGAGATAAAATAAATGATTTTATAAAAGCAAAGGCAAAAAGTTATGTTAGGAATTGAAAGGTTAACAAAATTGTTGGTTATGTTATGTTAATTCTTGAAAAAAGAAATTATTAAAATATACTAAAAAAATTGGAGCCGAAAGAGAAATACTACATTTAAACCACCGCTATTCTTTTTATAACTATAAAAAAAAGAAGGTAAGCATAAGTTGATTTAAGTTTGATATTTAAATAAATAAATATTTAAATACAATATATTATTATATTACACATACTTGAAAAGCTCAATGCTCTTGTCCGCAGCATTCTCGAATTTGCGAGTACTGCATGGTCACCATGGTACGCTGTTCATTCCCAAAGAATTGAAAGCATTCAAAGAGCCTTTACCAGAAACCTTGCCTACTCTTGCAGTGGTTTTTTCTCATAGGAGCCCGTATGACACACGGCTATCCAAGTTTAACATGACCACTCTTTCTAATCGCAGACGCGTTTTTGACCTTTGTTTTCTTCATTAATTAATTAATAATAATATACAGTACAATTATTTATTAGAAAGAATATCAGTGAAGGTTCCTCACTCTTATCCCAGACATAGAATAACTAAAATATTCCACACACAATTTTCAAGAACTAATCTAGGCCAACATTCACCAATAAATAGAGTCCTTAACCAATATAATAGTATCCAAACTCGTGATCCTGACATTGACATCTTTCGCCAATCGTATAATGAATTTAAAACTAAAATAACAAATGTTTTGTGTCCATCTTTTTTTTTTTTTTTTTTTTTTAACGTGTGGAAATCCCCTCGGACCGTCACCCCCCCGGGGTTTGCGGCGGGGGGGTGTGTCGGACTCGGACCGACTAAAACCACACGGTGTGCCACTCTGCGCCTGTAACAGGAGGGATCCGGGAACAGCTGTTGTTAAGACATCCGGACCCCTCCTAGCGCCAGCCCGCTCCTGGTGCGGGCTCCGTCTCGATGTTTTTCCTCTCTTTATAGGCGACGTCCGGCACACGCGGACGCCGCCCCCTCGCGGCTGGCCAACTAAT